CTCCTCATATGGCAGATACTCCATACCCTTAATCATTTTTGTTGCCCTTTTCTGAATCTTTTCCAATTCCAATATATCTTTTTTGAGATGCGATGACCACATCTGCACATAGTACTCAAGATGTGGTGGTACCATGGATTTATATAGAGGCAATATGATATTTTCTGTTTTATCTATCCCTTAATGATTCCCAACATTCTGTTCACTTTTTTGACTGATGCTGCACATTGAGTGGATGTTTTCAGAAAACTATCCACAATGACTCTAAGATCTTTCTTGAGTGGTAACAGCTACTTTAGGCCCCATCATTTGATGTATACAGTTGGGATTACGTTTTCCAATGTGCATTATTTTGCACTTATCAACATTGAATTTCATCTACCATTTTGTTGCCCAGTCACCCAGTTTTGAGAAATTCTTTTGTAGCTCTTCAGTCTGCCTGGGACTTGAGTAATTTTGTATCATCTACAAATTTTGCCACCTCATTGTCGACCCCTTTTTCCAGATCATTTATGAATATGTTGAATAGGACCGGTCCCAGTACAGATCCCTGGGGGACACCACTATTTACCTCTCTCCATTCTGAAAACTGACCATTTATTCCTACCCTTTGTTTCCTATCTTTTAACCAGTTACCAACCCATAAGAGATTGGATTCCGATGAGGGAATAGGTGCAATGATTTGTGGAATGCTGCTCATGGCATCCTCTGAGCAAATGCATGTTGGTGGAAAGTCAAATACAGATGCCTGATCTACACTATGGGGTTAGGTTGAATTTAGCCGCATTAGGTCGATTTTATAATGAATGCGTCCACATAACCAACCCCGTTCCGTTGACCTAAAGGGCTCTTAAAATCAACTTCTGTACTCCTCCCCGGCAAGGGGAGTAGCGCTAAAATCGACTTTGCTGGGTCGAATTTGGGGTAGTGTGGATGCAAATCGATGGTATTGGCCTCCGGGAGCTATCCCAAAGTGCTCCATTGTGACTGCTCTGGACAGCACTTTGAACTCCAATGCACTAGCCAGGTACACAGGAAAAGCCCCGGGAACTTTTGAATTTCATTTCCTGTTTGATCAGCGTGGCGAACTCAGCAGCACAGGTGA